CCGATAGTCAATACATAATCTTAGCGACCCATCCTTCTTTTTCACGAACAGAACTGGAGCTCCCCATGGTGAAGTACTATGTCGGATAAATCCTCGATCGAATAATTCTTGCAATTGGACTTTCAACTCCTTAAGTTCCTTTGGAGCCATACGATAAGGTGCCATAGAAATAGGTGAAGATCCCGGATAAGTCTCAATCTCGAACTCTACCTCTCTAACAGGAGGTAACCCATGCAACTCCTTCGGAAAAACATCAGGAAACTCGCTAACTGTACGAATCTCCTCGATCGTGGACAATGCACCTTTGGTGTTCAAAATACAAGCAATGAAGGTCTCATATCCCTTCCGGATCATACGATCAATTTCCATCGCTGAAACTATATTGGAGAGATAACCACGCCGTTCACCAATTAACACAACAGTCCGACCATCTGAAGTCTTCAAAGTAGCCCACTTGTATTCGCAATCCAACTTTACCATGTGTTTATTCAACCAATCCATTCCAAGAATTAGATCGAACTCCTCTAAAGGAAGCTCCATAAGATCAGCGAGAAAAATTTCTCCCTGAACCTCGAGAGGACAATGCCGAAATACTTTATTCACTAATATCGCTTGTCCTACTGGACTTGTAACTGTAACAGTATTTTCAGTGTTCTCGATCGGAATCTGAAGGTTTTGAGATACTGAGCTTGATACATAGGAGTGGGTGGAGCCATTTCCAATAGTGCAAAGTATGGAATGGAATAAATAGTAAATGTACCTGCAATAACCTCAGGCTCATCTCTGTCATCACGACGTCTAGTGGCATAAACCAAGGCTGGTTGTCTAGCCTCAGAAACTGTTGGCCCTCTACTTTGCTGAGGTCGGGCTCTACTGTCTGTCCTGGACGCTGATCCTCGAGTCTTTTCTTGACTACGATCTCTAATTGGAGTCTGTACTATAGTCTGCGAACGCACAGGAGTCTGGGTAGCAGTCTGCTCAAACGAAGCTAGCTGAGGACAATCCCTCCGAAAATGACCACTAGATCCACACTGATAGCAAAGACCCATCTTCTTACGACACTCTCCTGTGTGTTGTTTACCACAAAACTCACAGAGGAACCCATGATAATACGACGAGGAACCGCCTCGACTGCCAACTAACGGTGAGGATGCTGCTGGCCTGAAACGTGTATTGCTTCTCTGAGGGGCTGAAGTACGAGTCCTCTTCCCGGACTATGATGATGACTCCATCGGGCCTGAAAATTTCTTAGTTCCTGATCAACACGCTCTCTACCAGAAGCTAAAACCTCTACCTCTTCAGCATCTTTGGCTCTTTCCACCAGCACATCAAATATTTTCATCCTGATGGGTTACAACTTGCTACGCAGCTCGTATCTGAGTACAAGGGCAAATTTACGACATCGATCTCTCTCAGTAGGTACCATACTGAATCCATACTTCAGCAACTTCAAGAACTCGATCTCATACTCAGAAACAGTCATGTCTCTCTGAACCAAGTCTTGAAACTGTTGTCGTCTCTGAGCTAAGTATCGCACTCCCAGAAAACGACTCCGAAAGCGATCCTTAAAGAAATTCCAGGTCAAACGATCGGTAGGAACACTACTGGTCACTGACTCCCACCAAGTGTAGGCATTACCATCTAACATTGCTACAGCACCCAGATATCTCTTAGTGGAGTCCAAACCCAACTGATCCATGCGTCTCTCTGTATCCTGGAGCCAATCCTCAGCTTCAGTAGGAGCTCCACCAATCTATCCCCCAAAAGTTCTAACTCTATTGGCAATCAACGTCTGTGAAATAGGAACCTCAGATACAACACCAGTAGCTCTAACTGCTCCCTGTATTAACTGCAGAAACTGTCTACTAAAATTCTCATCCAATGCAACTCCAGTAGACTCTGACTCAATATCGGTCGCTCCTATGATCGGTGTAGTCATGCCAATACCATCGGTAGGTGGCATATTCGTTGGGGTCGTAGAAATAGGATCACCTATCGGAGGTGGGGGATCTACTCGTATCTCATCAATCGGATCTGCAAATCTAGCCACTCGACCTCGTCCACGGCTAGTTCAACGACCACGTCTAGCACTCATTTTGGTAGATCTCGAGATTACTACAGAAGATAAACTTAAGGTTAGATAAGCACTTGGAGTCTCGAACATAGTTAAAATCTTAATAACTTTGTGACATTGCCTTAGTAACTCGTTTTGTAAAATATTTCAAAACCGTATTTTCAATGTGGACTCATACACAGTCCGAGGGTTAAAAACCAAAAGCTCTGATACCAATAAATGTAACCCCCTAGACCTGGCCTATGCGTTTCGACTAAGTCTAGTGGATCACATTATGATTATTAAAGATATTTTCTGAAACTGTTATTTCATCAATATAAAATCATATTATAAATAACATGAAATTATAAACAATTATACTATCAAAATCCAACTCGTAAATATAGTACCAATAAGTAATAAATTAATTTAAAACATGTCTTCAAATTCAAAATCACACTAAACCAAACAGTAATAGCAAAAGAGTCATCATTATAAAATCCGATATTTTAAAATAAGGTCCATGTCACCAAAATAAAATCAACTTGCAAAATAAAAACATTACAATCTGATTTACTTCAAGAGATATGTTGATCCTCCAAGTGCTCGAACCGAGGTATCTAACCAACAGTATCTGAAAGGGGGAAACATTTTCGAAAGGTGAGCTAGGCTCAGTGTGTCCCAACATTTCCATAAAATCACAATAGGTACAAATCATAGTCCAGTAAATCTCACAAATTCATAAAAGAGTTTAACTTTTGAAAATCATAGTTTAAACCCTTTTCTGGTACACCATCAGTAGTTCCCAAAATTATTTTCCATATAGCTTACTTTATGCACATAGCAAAAAGAAAGTCGACTTAAGGATAGGCTATGAAGCTTGTATCCTTAAGCCAAAGTCAATAAGTCCATATAGCTTACCCTAAGCACACAGCAAAGGAAAGCCGACCTAATGAAACATCTTGGGGCCCTCAAGAGTCACATTAGGCCCATTTAGCTTGATCAGAGCTATTCCATCGTAATTCAATTGCACCGTGACATAAATTCCATAAATCCAAAAACATGGTAATCATATACCATTTCAAAACAAAAATTAGATCGCATCCATATACCATAAATTGTCACATTAAATTGGTGCATCCATAAAACAATAACCAATGAATTCGGTGTACCACATATTAAAACCAATAAAATAGTTCAGTAATAAGTAGGGAACACACCTCGACAATAGGTTCAAATAGCAAATCTACTGATTGCTGGTTTCACCACGCTCTGCTACAGTTTTCGAACCTATTTTACAATAACACTATATTACTTATGAGTAATATAAATAGATCTCTAAAATCATAAAATTTACGGGTCTTACGGGTGAATACTGGCACACGTGGTTTAACTGATCTAGAAGAGCTGAGTCGAGCTGTCGAATGATCCGGAGAGTCTCTTGTACCTTCAAACAATAATAATTTATCAGTCCCAAATCCTATTTAATTGTTCAAAGCTAAACTTCTTAAGTATATAAGCATTTTTCGGGTTTGACTATCAATTTGGGGTATTTCGAGTCTGAATTTGGCCAAACGGATTGCGGAATCGGAATCAGGGCGTCGAAAAACATAAAGTATGACTTTCCGAAAATTCAAATTCTTGGTCAAAGTCAAAGTTAACCACTTTGACCGTCGATTTGGAGGCCTTCGGGTTCGAATTTGACGAAACGGACTTCGGGACGTCGAAAACTATCAGAATAGGTATACTCGAAAATATTAACGGTCGTTTAATGCTCGGTCAAAGCCATTTTAAGTTTTGGTCAAAGAAGTCAACGGTCGGGTCGGGTCGAGTCAACGGTCGAGTCAACGGTCGGGTCGGTCGGGTTGGTCGGGTCGGGTCGGGTCAGACCGGTCAAACTGGTCCAGACCAGTCAAAACGGTTCGAACCGGTCGAAACGGTTTCCAGCAGCGTCCACTCTCCCTGCGGCGGCGCGTGAGGCCTCCTCGGGGCCCTAAAAATCCCGGAAAAATTTCTAAAAATTATTTTGAGCGATTTCGAGATACTTACAACGATCAGTTCAAATTTTTGAACGGCGGAGAGCTCGATTTCAACTCGGCCGAATCTTTGACTGCTCCACCTCCTCACGCGCCGCCGTCGACGGCGAACAAGGTTGACACCGGCGGACTCGAAACGACTCAAGGAACACGATGGTGCAGGAGGTGTCGTAAACGGAGCAACGATCGGTGGTGAATTTAAGATTTTCCCGGCGGTGAATTTAAGATTTTCTCGGCGATAGAGCTAAAAAAAACGTCGATACTTTGACTGAAAATTCCCGTTGTTTGACCGCGTTTCGCTTCAATTAAATTGAAGGGTTTGTTCCTCGCTTGATGATGAACACAACGGTGGTTTCAAAACGACGATTGAAATTCGGACGGCGTCTGGATCTGGGTCGAAAACGGACGTAGGGGAAAGGAAATTTGGGGTGGTGGTTTTCTGTTTTGAATCAGAAAACCACCCACGCATATAACATATATAACCAAAATTCACCTAATTTTATTAGGTAAATTCAGGACTTAGTCCCTGAATTTTTTTTAACTCTAACACAAACTTCAAATTTTAAAATCTTTCAATTTAGTCCTCAATTTTCGCCAATTTTTATAATTAACCTCAAATTTTAATTAAATATTATTTTTGTAAAACAATTCGGGTTGTTACAGATGTTATATAACATTTTTGGTAAATTTATAAAATCTTTTTATAGATTTTTTGAAAATTTATTTAAAAGTTTAAATAAAATAAATATATATGTATTGATATTTTAATTTAGTTTTAAGATGTAATTTGGTATTCAAATAATTTTTCTTTCAAGTATATGTGGTTGGTTTAACGAGTTTTCTTCAGAACATCATGAATTTAATTTCGGATCTTGAGTTCGTGGCGCGCCACCTAAAACTGACCCTTCTTTAATTAAAGTAAGTAATAAAACAAACAGCTTCATCAATCATTTGGTTTCCGTTATTATCATTTTGGATCCGAGACAGATTCCCTGCGATCTCACGGATTGAATTTTCAATTAATCAAGAACAAAAACAGCAATGGCGACCTTTCTGAAGCTTGAAGATTCACCTATGTTTCAGAAGCAGGTAACTCCACATCTTAACTATTCTACATTTGTGCTTCCAGATTATTATCTTTTCTCTCGATTCCTTAGCCAATGATGCCTGTAAAGCTTTTTTCTTCTTTTTTGAATCGAATTGTGATACAAGGCTTACTTTTTTTATTTAAATATAAGTTTTATTTTTCATTTTGTTTTTGCTGAATACTGAAGAATCAAAATTCGCTTGAATCTTATTTCCGGAAAATGTGCATTGGTTGAAGTTATGGCTTATTTTTATATTTCCATGTTCTTTGGGTTTATATTCATGTTTGTTTAATTGATTAAAAAAATATGATTCTAATATTTTTGTTGATTGAACAGATATGTTCTTTAGAGCTCATGGCTGACGATTTGAAATATCGCTGTCAAATACTATACAAAGGCAGCAAAAAGTTTCTGTATGTATATTTCTATTTCTAAATTCACTAATTATTTTTTACACATGCTGTAAATGCTTGGATTCAGTTTTTTTTCTTTCAATAATGACTTATTGAGGCCAAGTTTTCTGACTGCAAGCTTTTGTTAAAATATGAAATTTTATTCTTTGTTAGTTAGTACCGAGTATATTATTACTTCCCTCAGAACTGACATCATATTCTCAGTATGTTGTATTATCCGTGCTCATTAGCTTTGTAACAAGATATTGGATTCAAATCTTGATCTCTAATGCAAATGTATCTTTTTTGCTTTGGACTCTGAACTTATGATCTTGAATTTGTCCTCTCTCCCCTAGTATTACATAACTCCAGCTGCAATCATGCATACAATATGATCAAGTTAATTTCCCGATATCCAATAAAACAAGGCAGAGAACAAGTGCTCTAGTTACTGAATCAAGTTGTAAAATACAAAAAGAATTATTGAAGATCTGTCTTCCTCTTTATCTCTCTGTCCCTCTCTTTCTTTCCATACATTCATGCTTATTTATTTTGCTCCATCTCTACTGCTTTTGCAGGACAGCCCTTGTAGAAGCACATAATGGAGAAAATAGCTTTGCTGATTCTTTAGAAGCATTTGGTAGTGGGAAGGATGATCCTGATAGTTTATCCGTAGGAGATTTCCAAGGTGTCATCTTATTCAAACTTATTTTAACTACCAAACCCGTCTTACTAGTTAATGTTTTCAATTTTGATTAGGTTTGAAGTTTTGGTTCTACTGTTGCAACTTGCAAGTTTTTTCAATTACTGGAGATGAAACAGACAACATATGTGCATTGAACACTGTGCACTTATTTGTTTCGTACTCTTGTTTTTTGTTGGCTGCGTCTCATCCAGTAATTGAGTTGTCTTGGTGAAAGAGAATAGGAGATTATCATGTTGCTCCGTTAGCTTACTCATTAGGGGTAACATTTTCCTTTCCTTTTCTCCATCTAACATTTTGCTTGGGCCCAAAAATTGTAACCTACGTTTTATTTTTTTAAATGAGAATTTTTATCAGGTCATACTCCACTTGCTTACTTGTTAGGTGAGGTTGAGGTTTTTCTTTTTTCTTTTTTTTAAAGGAAATTGAGAATTTCAATTGATTTTTCCTCGTGATCTATTCCTTTATGTGAAGCCTCTGTACATGTCCCAATCATTGTCTTGCCCCGCTGTTGCATCATACACAAATTCACTAAATAAAAAAATATAATGCAAAGTGAAAAAGCAGAAGATTACAAATCTGATTTCAAAAATAGGAGAGCTCCTTGTGTTGTTGAGATAGAACAACCAAGCTGAAAATTTGAAGATTTTAAAGCATTTTTATGCTTCCTTTTTGTAGGGCCAATCATGTCCAAGTTCATCGAAACTTTTCGTGAGCTGGCTAGCTATAAAGAGTTGCTTCGTTCACAAGTGAGTGTTAATTTACCATTTATAGAAAGCAATTATTTCTTATGCAATTGAATAACACAGGGATAAGTAGCTTTTTTCTTATTCATGTTATAAATGTATCCGTTTTGTTACTAGCAACACTTTACTAAATGGTAATTTGAATATAAGCCCATAGGAGACCTAATACTTAGTAGTTGACAACCCTTGGTGTTGTCAACGTCACATGAGATTAGGAAGGAAGAACAAAATGAAAAACCTAGGCTTTGATATCATATTAAGTGTCCAACCTAAATCCAATTGGTAAAAGGGGAGGGCCCAACTTTAATATAAGACCTTGGAAACCTAAGACTTAACAGATGTAGGATAAAACCGCTTAACACTTATTGGTGCTTTATTTATTTTTACATCTCTATGGATGGATATGCATGACTATATTTTTTAAGTTATCTGAAGTAATTAACCTTGCATGAACAATTTGTTAATCGGATAATTTTGGTATCAGATTATAATCACCTTACCTGTACTCCCAAAATGAGTTTGAAAGACATGATCAGAAGATGAGCTTCTAGATGGTAGATATCACGTATTTTTATAACTAGTATTTGTAAAAGACATAGCATGTGTATTTAAGGTATGAACTCCTTTAAACAGATTTTAATAAGGAAATAAGCAGCCATAGAATGAAACCAAGGACCTTTGCAATTTGTCTTTTAAAATTGATGCAGGTGCACCTTTACGAACAGTCTCACAACATTAGATTTTCTTCTGAAAAAGATTTACGAGATCAGGTTGTAGCTTTACCCAAACCAGTATTTAACATATTAGTTTCTACGTAGGCAATTATAAATTCTTCATTTGCAATTAGATGTTTTTATCTCAAACATGGTTAGTTACCTTGCTCTTTAATGTAATGCATTAGTAGACATTGAACATATTTGTTGCACATGAAAGCTAACAATCTCGAGGTTATCTGCTGCTTAACTTCAGATAAACAAAATTGTCTTAAAAAACTTCTTATATGTGAGAGTATATATAAACATTACCCTCTTAGCCTGCTTCATGCCCTAGAGAATTGGAACTTATATTTTGCATATTTTATTTTGGATATTCAATTTTCTTTTTGAGATTTGAATATCAATTATAGGTGGATCATGTGTTAATTGATCGACTGATGCACTTTATGACTGTTGATGTGCAAGATGCAAAGGTAAATATAATTTAGCAGCTATCTTTAAATTTTGTTTTCTAAAACTGGTTATTTTAACATCAGTTTATTGAAATTGTTACCAACTAGCCCACTTTCCAGCTCTCTCTCTCTCTCTCTCGAAATGTTTAATTGAAATTAACTGATTGATGAACACAATCACTCCTTATTGAGATTTTTCTATGAAACTTTGTTGTGTGCTACTGAGCAGGGGGAAAAAGAAAAAGGAACTTGTTTATGTGCTTGCAATAGGGGGTTTTATGATTGCCACACTTATAATAAAAATGAGTAGTCTATCTGGAATCTGAAACTCAGAATGTTTAGAAGACGTAGGGCCCACAAATGAGTACAAACCAAACGTGGAGCCATATCATTTTCCTTTTTGAATGGGACATATTGCAGTTTTTTCTTATCTGAGTCATGGACATTACAAAGTCCTTTAGGAGAGATTGTCTATTGCCCGCTTAAGAACTCATCGTGGATGAACATTTTAACTCTACGTGTTGGTAACTGTGGAAGTTAAATAATTGCAAGATAGGATAAGATGTCTTCATAAAATATAATAAGTTCTGATGGTGGGAGCATGTGTGGTGGGTGTGCGAGGTGGTTAATAAATCAGGCGAGAAAATATAACAATAAAATTCATTATCAAAGAGCTCAACGTTTTTAGTTCTATTTTATTTTTTTGCTAATTAAATCAGAGTTAAATGTTAAACTTCATCCCTTCCTAATTTGTCTCACTGTTTTTGTCCTCTGTATGCTGCAGGAGTCTCGTCGACGGTTTGACAAAGCTATAACTGCATATGATCAGGTATTAAAGACTATGTAAACTTCCTTTCTGACATGAAGATAACTATTGGGTTTGTATCTTAATAACGTTTGGAATATTCTTCATTGTTTCTCTCCTTTTTGCATGTGAGGTCGTCAGGAGTAAAATTTTGAATTATTCAATCATTAGGTAAAAGCATACTATCCTTATATGTAATACCACTGAGAATTATTCTGAATCAAGAGCTGTCCAATAGAAATGAGTAGCAGAGAATTCAAATCAGAAAGTTGATGACATGTCCTGAAACCTGAATATTTCTTGCCGAAAACATATTAAGTGGAAAACATTGATGAAGACGTCCCAGTTCTTAAGTTGTTCTCCAATGGATCTAATACAAGTGCTGATATTTGATATTTCTAAATAGATACAGATGGTTATCCCTTGTATAAGTTTTAAATATCTGCTGCATTTCCTATCATTCTATGAAAAGTCACAATCAAGCATTTTGCATGCCATTATATTCCTTGATTCCTGTAAAATATAATGTCCTCTCTTAATGTTCTTTACTGCCAGGCACGTGAAAGGTTCGTTTCTTTGAAGAAGAACACACCAGAAGATATTGTTGCTGAGCTAGAAGAGGTATTCTCTTTCCTTATGTAATTATTGACTTCTCGCATGTTTCTAAGAAGGCTGGAAAATGGTATTCTTATACTATTCTCTGTATGTTTCTCTAGTTTTCTCATTGTTCTGCTATATGGAATCCGGTTCACTAGTTAGAAAAAAAAAATTAACTGTTTCAAAACCATAAAAAAGAAACAAAAATACCTGTTCCATGGACCATGGAACTACGGATCTGATATCAAATTAGCTAGTACTCATTGGACTCCTCGTCGTTTTTTAACTACACATCCTGATCTGTTGTTCCTTTTTCTTGAAAACTTATGTAGTGTGTGTGGCTTGTCAATAGGCTAAGAAAACATCATATTACCTTATAATCACCTCAGATTATTTAAAAAATAAATTGTGGTTTACTTACCTTTATCTGAAGAGAGTATCTTTCCAGTTACATGGATGGGACGTTTACATAATCTAGTTTTTTCTGCTTAGATATATGTTACGCCTGTGTGTTTCGGATTGATAATTCAGCTCGTCAGAAGAGACTTAGATCTCTTATGTTACTGATAGAAATTCTGTTTACCTTTCATTATTCTATTCGTCCCTTTAAAATCAGATTACAATAACTAAATAAAGTCCTACAAAAATACAACTTCTATTCTAAGAATCTTAAAATAATTAACTTCTCCTGAGAATAATAAAACAACTTCTACTAAGTCCTATCTAACTTCTCCCAAGAAAAAAAAGGCTTAATTAAAAAATATATGTCCAAATTATAATTTATACCTCTTATTTACTTTGGGAACCTAAACGTTTTCCAACGTTACTATTTTAAGTGTCTGGTTGTTTAAAAGATTCGTCAACCATTTAAAACATGACATGTGTTGCATTTATATTCTTTTGAAAATTTTATTTAAAAAAAAAATTATTATTATTATTAAAAAAACTCAAAATTTTCTAAAATCTCAAAAAAAAAAAAACCCAAAATTCCTAAAGTCTCTAATTCTAAACCACTCAATACCGTCGCCGGCTATCGCCACCATCACCGAACGACTATCCGCCCATCGTCGTCCACCAAGTAACCAGTCACCGCCCTTATTGTCACCCCAATACCTACTCCCTTGGAGCAACCAAAGTTAAAATCCCACCCAATTGTCGAACATTAGAACTTCCCATGCAGATTCAATGTTCCTCCAATTGTCGAACATTCATGGTTGGGTTTAAAAATTTTAGTTTTTTTATTATATATTAGTAAAATTTGAGTTTTTTTAAAGAACAATAATTTTAAGTTTTTGTAAATAAAAAAAATTATAAACACGTCATGTGTCTTGTTTTGAGTGATTGATAGATTTTTTAATGGTTACCGTGCACTTAAAATTGTAACTTTAGAAAACATAATAAGACATTGACTAAAAGAAACTCTAGACACTTACTCAACAACCAAGAAAAAAAACAGTAGACGCCTAAAGTTAACTAAAGATATAATTTGGACAGTTATTTTTTAATTCAGCCAAGAAAAAAAATTCTTTTATCAACCATAAGAGTCCTATGTCCATACAATATCCTTTATTTTGTTTCTAGTATCTACTGCTCATTATTGATCTGCAATCGACAAAGTATTTAGTGGCAGAACTTGAACATTGTTTCTTATTCGCAAAAGTAAGTAATCATTTGCTTCAAGAATTGAGAATGTAACTAACTAATCAGTTCCTTATATTTGTTCAATTACATTATGGAAGAGGAGGGTTTCCAATAGATGATGGAGTTGAAGATTAAGGAGGTGAAGAAGGTTAAAAGCAGAGAAAATGAATTTATGCTAAAAGAATTGAAAAAATCAATTAAATGTTGGTCCTCTAACAATCATCTGAAGCTGTCGAATTTGATTGCGAGGCTGGAAAATTCAATTTCTGAAATGGAGAAAGCAGTACAATAGGGGTCTACTCAGGTGTCGATGGAATCAATTGCGAAAGCCAAGAAGTGTAAAGTAAAAAATGGAAGCACATGGGGTCAAGAATGGAGGCGCATGGGGGCACCGAATTCCACCGAATTCGGTGCAATTAATTCTCCTAATTTTTTATATTTTTTGGAAATGGGTTAATTACTTTTTTAGCCATTGCACATTTTAGGGCATTCACAAGATTAGTCCTTAATCTTCAACTATAAATACCCTAGTCCATTTAGTTTCAAAATCATCCCAAAATCTTCCAGTTTTCTCTCAAGTGTGTTTTGTAAACACCTGTAAATTTTCTCTTTAATAAAAGATCTGCAGCAGTCCGAAGACGTAAGCACAATTAACTAAACTCCGTTATCAATTTTTCGGGTATTATTTTTGCGCTTTTATTTCGTATTCTCACTAATCTGGCTAAAGAGAAATTACTTGTTACTTGTTTATTTCCCAACAACTGATATCAGAGCTTTTGGTTGTGAATTTTGTCAATTTTTTGAGAGGTTACTATTCATTACTATTCACGTGAATAGTGAATTTCGTGAATACTGAAATTTTGTCGGCGATACGAATTTGTCGACGGAGGTGTTCTAATACATGGTGGTTTGCAAGAATTGTCAGAAACAATCCAAACAAATTCAGATTCGAGTGGGAGCGATGGCTGCAGACGAAGGAGGTGAAAATTGAAAAGTTCGATGGTGCGGACTTTGGCTTTTGGAATATGCAGATTGAAGATTTTTTGTACCAGAAAAATCTATATCAACCCCTCTCAGGAAAGCAACCAGAGGCATGAAGAATGAAGACTATGCTCTTCTCGACAGACAAGCCATCAGAGTTATCCGACTGATGTTATCCCGCAATGTTGCTTTCAACATAGAAAAGGAAAAGACCACGGCAGGTCTTATGGCGGCTCTCTCCAGTATGTATGAGAAGCCATCGGCCTCAAACAAAGTTCATTTGATGAGGCGATTATTCAATTTGCGGATGACGGAAGGGGCATCGGTGGCACAACACCTAAATGAACTTAACACAATCACAACCCAGTTGAGTTCAGTGGAAATTGATTTCGATGATGAAGTTCGAGCTTTAATTCTCTTATCATCTCTATCAGATAGTTGGAATGCTACTGTTACAGCAGTCAGCAGCTCGTCGGGAAATAGTAAATTGAAATTCGACGATGTTCGGGATCTGGTATTGAGTGAAGAAATTCGACGGAGAGAATCGGATGAAGCATCAACCTCCTCAGCCTTGCACACGGAGTCCAGAGAGAGAACTTCAGAAAGAAATTCAAATCGTGGCAGATCCAAATCCAGAACGGGAAAGAAAGATTTTACCTGTTATAACTGCGGCAAAAAGGGTCACTTTAAAAGAGATTGCCGAGCACCGAAGAAAAATACCGACGCACAAGAATCAACCAATGTGACAGAGGAGACAGTGATGACATGATTCTAAGCGTCAACAGTCTAATTGAATCATGGATCTTGGATTCATAGACATCTTTCCACTCAACCCCATGCCAAGAAATCATGGAGAACTATGTCAGTGGTGATTTTGGGAAGGTTCATCTAGCTGATGATGAAACATTGAAGATCGTCGGAAAAGGAGACATCCGACTAAAGCTGCCAAACCAGACCACCTGGAAGCTGACAGGAGTGAGACATATTCATGGCCTCAAAAGAAATCTGATTTCTGTAGGACAGCTTAATGGAGAAGGTTATAGTACAACCTTTTCAAGCTGTGAATGGAAGATTACTAAAAGAGCACTCGTCATTGCTCGTGGTAAGAAGACTGGTACTCTCTATGTAACCTCAAATTTAGAGAACATTATTGCAGCCGCAGATGCTGATGAAAAATCAAACCTATGGAACCAAAGGCTTGGTCATATGAGCGAGAAAGGGATGAAGACACTTTTGTCAAAAGGGAAGCTGCCGGATCTAAAGAATGTAAATGTCGGACTATGTGAAGATTGCATCTTTGGCAAACAAAAGAAAGTCAGTTTTGCAAAGATTGGCAAGACACCCAAGGCAGAAAAACTAGAGTTGGTTTATACTGATGTATGGGGACCATCTCCAGTTCCATCTCTTGCAGGCTCATTATATTATGTCAACTTCATCGATGATTCTACGAGGAAGGTGTGTGTTTATTTTCTGAAGAAGAAATCAGAAGTCTTTGATACCTTCAGAAAATGGAAGGCCATGGTGGAAAATGAGACTGATTTGAAAGTCAAGCGGTTGAGGTCTGATAATGGAGGAGAGTACAAAAATAGAAGATTCAGAGATTTCTGCGCAAACAATGGGATCAAGATGGAGACAACAGTTCCCATGACACCACAGCAGAATGACGTAGCAGAGAGCATGAACAGAACTCTGAATGAACGTGCCAGAAGCATGAGGATACATGCCGGATTGCCCAAATTTCTATGGACTGAAGCTATCAACACTGCAGCTTACCTGATCAACCGTGGGCCCTCAGTTCCTTTGGATGACAGAATATCAGAGGAAGTTTGGAGCAAGAAAGAAATAAACCTTTCACACTTAAGAGTGTTTGGTTGTATTTCTTATGTACACATAGACTATGCTGAAAGAAGTAAACTTGATGCTAATTCCAACAAATGTGCCTTTGTTGGTTATGGCGGTGATGAGTTCGGTTACCGATTTTGGGATTATGAAAATCGGAAGATCATCAGAAACAGAGATGTTATTTTCAATGAGAATGTGATGTACAAAGACAGGGCAACCATAGAATCAAGTAGCTTCAATACCGAAGCTGAAACAAAGGAATTTACTGAGTTCGAGGAGATTTCTAGAAATGATGTTCAAATCATTCCTGAAGCAGTTCAAGAAGAACCAGGCACACCAGAACTGAGACGTTCCTCTAGAATTCCTAAACCAACCCAGCGATATTCTCCTTCTTTGCACTACTTGTTGCTGACTGACAATGGTGAACCAGAGTGCTATGATGAAGCTATGCAAGTGGAGGATTCAGTCAAGTGAGAGTCTTCCATGAAAGATGAGATGGACTCTCTTATGTCAAATCAGACATGTGAATTAGCTGAATTACCACCAGGTAAGAAAGCGCT